TCTGGGCTCAATTGTGGACATTACTAAGGACTACGTGTAACTCAAATTCTTACAGATTCTGTTTTAATTGTCTTCATAATAGCGAAAGCCACCAATCAAATTAGGCTTTGTGACTATTTCTGTTCTTCCTGGAATTGCACAAGTTTATTTTTCTTCTCCACGATAGTTTCATAGTAGCCTGATTGCACTGAAGATGAATAATGAGTGCCAGGAAAATGTTATTTTTTTTTTACTCTTAATTTGATCCTTTCTAGGAAAAACTCTCTGGCTTAGGTTATGATCACACTATGTCAAAGCTTGTTCCCTGTATCTAAATCCATTAAAGAAGTCTCTTCTGTCAGGCATAAAGAATCTGTTAAGTTGCAATTGAGAAGATTTATTCTCCAAGCCTATATACAAAAATCTACTCAATTAAGGTGCAATATACTAAACTAGGTCAATTCAAGAGTGGTTAGATTTTAGACCATTTGTGGGAATGTAAGGACTTTAAGCTGATTCCTCTCTTGACTCTGCCCTCAGCTCTGCTTGCTCTTCTCCTACATCTTTCCCTGTTGCCTATTGGAGACACTGTCATAAAATGACCATTGGAAAACAAAAGGCAAAACTGTAAGCATTGCATAGCATAAAATGAGACAGGCTTCAACAGTGACTGAATGCTGGTTTCTGAACAAGAATTAACCAGGGAACTCAATAGAATTATTCAGCATCATGGCACCTGGGTTGTATTTGCAAAGTCCCATTTAGGAGAAGCAAATCCTTAGAGAAAGGGATACTTAAATGCAAATGGTATCAATACACCAAGTTCTTCCATTGCCCACCTGTGCTTCAGGTAGACAAACAGTTATTGTTGAAATACTCTTTATATCATCAAGGCTGATTCTTCCATTTGGTTCTGCTCGGAAGAATTTTGATAGAAAACAGAATGGGTTTATTCAACTGTGAAACCAGGTGAAATCTGCAGTGGATGTACAGAAAGCAGGGACTTGAATTGGCCACGGCTTCATTCAGATGGGGAATCAATGCAGAACACAACTGCACGCAACATTCAGTTATGCTAAGGAACCAACAGCTTGAGATTTACACTCAGCTTCGCAGCCCCATTTTCTGAAATTCCATTTCAGAGACCCACAAGTACATTCATATAAATTCAGAAGCAAATTTTGTATGATTTATCATTGTTTGCATAGCACTTTGTGGAAGTCAAGGCTTGTTATACTTCCAAATACAAACTTACATTTATATTAAAACACAGAGATCAACAAATGTTTTGAAAAAGGGTCACATTTACTGGCCCTTAATCATCATTATCATCATCATC